ATCTATCTATCTATCTATCTATCTATCTATCTATCTATCTATCTATCTATCTATCTAGTAGATCTTTGTTATGTCGAATAGACTGGCCCAGGCCTTAATGGCCCATTAGCAAAGGTGTATGTTGGTAGGTGACTTTCTGCCTGAGTTTCTACTTCTCTTTTAGGGGAAATATTCTGCCTTTTTAGTATATCCTAAAATATTTCAATTTTTTAGGAAGGGGGTGGGTTTTAACTTCCAATGCTAATTTCACAATTGCAATGATTCACTTAAAAAGTGTGACAAGAAAGGCTGTAAAATGGGGCAAAATTCACTTAACAAATGTCTCGCTTAGCAACAGAAATGTTGGGGTCAATGGTGACCATAAGCCGAGAACTACCTGGACAAGATAGGCATAGCATTTTCTGTTGAAATCTCCCAGTTTCTCTGAATGGTCAGAATACTTAACATGTTTTGGATGGAGCTGAGCGTTTATTGGCTGGATGCCCTTTCTGAGGTCATGCAGAGTTTGGATCGGATATTTTTAGGAGAGAATTACTTCTAAAGTTACTCATTAGAGTAAACCCTGAGATTATCATGTATAAAAGCAGCAGCTAAATTTATAAATGACCTGGTTCAAATTATTTTGGGAAATAATTTGTTAGTATGTTTTGTTAGTAGTCTACAGCTGGTATTCAGCAGGTTCTGACCAGTTCTGGAGAACCAGTAGTTGAAATTTTGAGTAGTTTGGAATACTACCTCTGACAGGCCCCGTCCCCATCTATTCTCTGCCTCCCAAGTCCCAGCTGATTGGCTGAGTCTTCTTTTGTTCCCCTGCACAGGAGAATGGAGCTGAAAAGCAGGTTAGTGGGATGGGAAGGGAATGGAGATTTTACAGTATCCTTCCCCTGCCATTGCCATCAAGCCACTCCCACAGAACCGGTAGTAAAAAATTTTGAATCCCACCACTGTAGTAGTCTGCTCTTTTTCTCTTGCTAATATTAGTTCATTTGAAAGAATTAAAATGCCTTCAACGCTGTGTTATCTATAGTAATGATGCATGGGATGGCATTGATCCACTTTATACCACGACTTAGATGTACTCACTATATGTAACCCGTTCCACAAACCATATTTCTAAAGTCCTACGAGAGAAAATGAATTGGTAACTTTTTTTATTAAACTTTTGCAGTTGAAACTATATTAATTGCATTTTCAGGCGTGAACCCATAATGGCGGGCAACAGTTTGGTCCTGCCAGTCGTGCTGTGGGGACGCAAAGCTCCTACTCACTGTGTATCCACTACGCTATTAATGGATGATGTTTCTATGATCATCACAGGATGTCACGATGGGCAGATATGTCTATGGGATCTCTCTTCTGATTTAGAAGTAAGTTTAAATCGTGGAATTAAAACATTTTTTCAGAATAATACATGTTTTATTTGAAACATTTTAGAAATACAGTTTAAGTACATTTCTATTCAGTTCAGTTTGAATTGGGTACATGTTTTGTAATTTGTCGAAAAGGCATTGCTAAGAGTATCTATGCATTTCCTGGGAAAACCCTTGCATTCTAAGCAAGAACACGTCAATATATGCTATTGATATTCATAGAGTTGCTTTTATAGGGCTGCTGATTTTAAAAAAATAAATTATTAAATCATGGAAAATCAATGAACTCTTTTGAAAAGTGGCTCTGCGGGGCTTCCTTTCTCCCATGACCCTTTGGAGGTCAACATGCTTAGATTAATTTAAAAAGAATAAATACTTTTAGAATGCACCATTTGTTTCTCCAATCCTGCTTCTAAAACAGTACTACTGATTTATTTATAAGCCATGCAGAGTGCTTGTAATTTGGACCGAACCTTTGAGCAATTTTGACATCCAAACAAATAACCTAGAGTGTGAAATCATTATTGAATACTTTTATATCCCTTTTTTGTTCAATTTATATAGTCAGATATTACATTCAGTTGCATTTGCAGCATATTCATGAAGAAACGAATGTTTTAACTTATTAGTGAATTTATGAATGATATCTATTCTGGTAAAGTGAAATAACTTTCAAGAATATATTTTCTGTTTTCTGCTTGTAACATTAGATAAGAAAGAAGAAGGTGGCTCATCCCATACAAAGTTTGAGTAAGCTATTCCCCCAGTTTTAATTTGTTCTCCATTTGGGGGGAAAAACTGTAAAATATTCCTTAGCAAATACCTCCTAGCAGTGTGATTACACTGGATCCTTTTGTTTCCCGCACAATGAATAGTGCCTAATTGTGGTGCGGTGGCCCAAGGTGGAGCTCTCACCTCACATTCGGGAGGCTGTGAGTTCAATCCTAGATAGAGGCAGATATTTCTCTCTGGGCATGATGATAATATATCTGCTGAATATAACTCCTCATGAGCGACAGGAAGGGCATCCAGCCAGTAAACACTCAGCTCCATTTAGTTGTCCAAACACCACCCTGCAAGGGATTATGGGATCATTAAATTATGATGATGAATAGTGCCTAATTGGATGCCGTTTTGGAGTGCAAAACACAGTGTCAAATACAGCTCCAAGGGACTATCTTGATCATCTTTCATATATTGGACCAAAGCCTTCCATTTTCATGAATTGTAAATAAATCAACCCATGGAACTGCCTTGCAACAAATATTCATTACCTTTAATATAATTTTTGAAAGAGCAAGATGAATGATGTTTATCTGGCAGAGGATTTGTGTGATGCATGCCTTTTATTTGGAATAATTAAAGCTATATCAAAGCCCTTTGTTGCAGTAAATTATTCACCTTCTATAGTGTTGCCATCAGACTAAAGACCTTGAGAATTGGATCGCTTCCTAAATAGTACATTACAATTTCCAAAAAGAATATAAATGTTCTTAATAGTAGATCACAACTTTGGAATATCTATTGCCAAATTGACAGTCTTCATGTTTGAATGACTCATGCAACCTACTTTTACATTATCTTAAAGAATAATTTTCTCAACTTTTCATACTTTGTTTTTCCAAATTCCTGGAGATAGTAATTATTCACTCATAATGGGGGAGTAAAAGTATGAAAAGTTTACAAACGTGTGTATTATTCTCATGCCTTTGACAGTGCTTTCTATTTTTTTTTTAATAATATTTGAAATTGCTCAGAGTTATTTGTATTTTCTTTTTCTCCCTGATTCTAGATTTATCCTAGAGCTTTGTTATTTGGTCATACAGCATCAATCACTTGTTTATCCAAAGCCAGTTCTTCAAGTGAAAAACAGTATATAGTGAGTGCATCTGAAAGCGGGTAAGGATTGGCTTTTGAGCCAAATTTTCTATTGATGACTGAATTATTTCAGGTCTCTTATAATACAGTATAATACAGTATTATCTTAAAAGCTGCTTGAGCAATATTTTTTGCCTTCATAGGCAGTCCAAGTATAATGTCATGCCCCTGTTAGAATTTGACTCTGAGGGAGAGGAGGAACAGCGGACGGGAGTGGAAGTGGAAGTGTGGCTCCGGAGGTTGTGGAGGAAACTGGGGAAGGGCACAGGCCAGCTGGGCATTTAGAGGAAGACCCAGGCCCATGCTCTCTTCATCCTAGGGCATACAGGGAAGAGCAGATAAGGGAGAAATGTGAATGGCGTGGTCTACGGGGGTGGAAAGGGCCCTGATCCCCTTCATGGGCTGCAGCTGTGCGGACTGTTTAAAAGGACATGGCCCAGTGCTGGAAGCAAAGTGTAAAAATATTTCTAGTCTGTCTGTTCTTATCTGAGTTCTGGCGTCCTTCCCAGTGTGTGTATTTCGATATCTGTGGACATCTTCAAGCCCTTATCCTGCCTTGTCTCATTAATTGCTTCAGTGTGGTTTGTTTTGTTTTTTCCTATTTATAATTTATATGTATTTTGAGTTTGAGCGGAATTTCTTCCTTTTCGCAACTGTTTGCAAGGGAGTTTTTTCTCCAGTCAATGATAATTGGACCTTCGAAGCCAAGTTGAAGAAATTAAAGGGACCTCACCTGTTTTTGTGACTTTTATATCCCACATATAATTTTTGCATCATCCTTCTACATCTCTCCTTCCTAAAGTGATATATTGATAAACGATTGTGGGTTAGGGACAGTACCAAATAATGATTGCTTAACATTCTTACCTACTACGTTGCCTTTTTTTTCTTCCTTTAGAGAAATGTGCCTTTGGGATGTGAACGATGGAAGGTGCATTGAATTTACAAAATTAGCCTGCACTCATACTGGCATACAGGTAAATACTTTTAATATGGATTACACTACAGGTAGTCCTCAACTTATAGCAGTTCATTGAATGACTGTTCAAAGTTACAATGGCACTGAAAAAAAGTGATGTATGTTTCACATTTATGACCATTGTGGCATCCCCATAAATCATGTGATCAAAATTCAGATGGCTGGCAGTTGGTTCATACTTATGACCTTTGCTGTGTCCCAAGGTTCAGTGATCCCCTTTTATGACCTTCTGACAGGCAAAGTCAATGGGGAAATGCACAGATTCACTTAACAACCGGGTTACTAACTTATCAACTGCGGTGATTCACTTAACAACTGGCCAGAAAGGTCATGATATGGGACAAAACTCACTTAACAAATGTCTCACTTAACCACAGAAGGTTTGGGCTCCATTGTGGTCATAAGCCAAGGACTACTTGTAGTTATGTATAATATAAATATGAACGAATGTGTAGGCTTCAATGTATAAAATTGCTTTTGAGCTTTGCTTTAATATGATATGGTTTTCAAGTGACTCAAGTACACAAGCCAAGGATATCTGTATTAGATAAGTATTTTTATGTAATGAAATATTTGAAAACTAAAACCATTAATAATCTTTGGGAGAATTGGCAAAACAACCACAAAGAAATAAATAAAATTATGGCTATATTGTGAGACAGTTAAAGGCACCTGTTTTTGCTGTCTTTTAGGAGCCAGCTGGAATGCAGAAATAGTGAAAGTCAGGTAATTTGTTACAGGGTAAATTTGATTTAAATAAAATCAATTTAAATATCACTAGTCAGGAAAACTCAGTTTAATTATTTCCTGGGCCAGGAAGATTCCATTAATCATTATTTTCTTCTCAAAATATTTGATACAACCTTACTATATACTCAGAAAAAGAAGTAGCTTTCAGTTTTAGGTGGTAGGCCACATTTTTACATTAATTTTCATTAAATTCATTAACAGGATTGATGGTTTTAATCAGGAATGTTTACCATAATTATTGTTCTAAACAGTTGTATGAGTTTTGCAAAAAAAAGGTGGCTGCTTTTAATTGTTCAAAAAGAGGTAGTCCTGCATTTTGTTCAGTACCTCTTTGAGCACTGTCATCTATCTTTTGTATTTTCAGTGGTTAATTCTTTCTGAGCTAGGTTGATTTTTAACAAAATGTTTAAAGAAAAACTTGCAGATCCAATGCAAATTCTAAAAAAATGGTGTCAATTTACCTTTTAAAAATCATTTGTTTTTAACTCTCTTGGTTTGATTGCTGGGAAAAATGACCAAGCAGTTGTGAGCATGCATGATACTTAATAAAGCAAATCTGATTATCTGGCAGTTGGGATACCACACATTAGCCTGGCTCTAATGTCCTTTTTCCATTCTCTTTTAGTTCTATCAATTCACAGTCGGGACTCAGCGTGAAGGGAGATTGTTGTGTCATGGCCATTATCCAGAAATTCTTGTTGTGGATGCTACCAGCCTTGAAGTTCTTTATTCCTTGGTGTCGAAGATTTCTAAGGACTGGATCAGTTCTATGAGCATTATTCGATCTCATAGAACACAAGGTGAGCCAATAACCATAGTCCAGGTTGTAATTTTTCAAGAATTTTCTTGGCAACCATAAATAATAATAATAATAACATATGAAACTTGTATGCCACCTGACTTCAAAAAACTCAGGCTCCCAACAATCCAAGACATTATAGTGAAAGATAAAAGATGGAAAGAAGTGAGGAGCTTCATCATCCCTTGTAAAAGTCCTGGGTGAAACAATAATAAAGAAACAAATTAATAAATCAATTTTTAAAAAGCAAGGCAAGAATCAATTCAGTCACATCTAAATTTGGCTTTGCCCAATTCTTGCTGATCCAAGAAATCATATGCTATTTCATTTACATGATTTTGCTTTGTCTTATTATTGTATTTAGATTTAGATTGTGTACTGTAAGCCCTTCAGGGTCATCTAAGTAGTTAACATACAACTATTGGCAATAAATTCATTTAAAACAATGTTAGAGTGTAATCTTACATTTAAAGCCAAGATTAAGGAATGCTATGCATATGCTTAAAATCTGAATCTGTGACAACCAATGAAATCACTCAACAAAAACCCAGTCTCCATCTTCAATCCACAATTTGAAAGAGAAGGAGCCAGAGGAATTCTGGGCCATAAGCAATTCCATAACATAAGAACAGCCATCAAAAGGCTGAGGTTTTCATCCATCACTGGTGGATTAGTCATTGCACCTTATGCTTAATGAGGAATGAGAAAATGTCAAGAATATAGGGAGTTGCCTTAAATCAGGGGTGTCAAACAAAATTTCACTGAGGGCAGCATCAAGGTTGTGTTTGACCTTGGCGGGCCAGGGTGGGTGTGGCCAGCTCGACATCACTGTTGGGGGTGCCTGTGGTTGCCTGAGTGCTCTGCTCACAAAACGAGTCCCCGAGCTCAGTTTTCAGCTGCAACGGCCTCCTGCAACCCTTTGCCAGCAAAAACGGAGCTCCCAGGTTCTGTTTCCACTGGCAGAGGCACCATAGGCCGGTCTTTCGCTGTTTCCAGGGTGGCTCTGTGGGCCAGATCTAAGCACCCTGCTGGCCGGATCTGGCTCCCCGGGCCTTGAGCTTGACAACCCTGCCTTACATCAAATCAGATCTTTGTTCAGTTTCATTTGGCTCAGGTAGCTGCCCATCATAGGTTGAACAGAATATTTTGCTTCTGAGACTGGATTTAGAATCCTTTGTATGTCAAGAAATTGGTTTTCCAACATCGTATGTAATTCCCTTGAGCTTCTCAGCTCATGAATGTGACCTAAAATAAATGCATTTCTTAGGTTTTGTCCTCAGCATCTTCTTTTCATTGCGTGAGTCAGATAAATGCTACTGAATTTATGAAATAATTCTGACTGTGTGTCTTGTGGGACAATGATTATTTTTTTCTTCTCTAGAGGACACTGTTGTAGCAGTATCTGTGGCTGGCATTCTTAAAGTATGGATTGTAACTTCTGAACTGAGTCACATACAGGTAAGAAAAAACAAATATAGTTTTATGGTGATGGATTCTTTTTTTCCAGTATTGCCAGTCTGATTGACTTATTTTTTTCACTGCTGTGTTACCCTTGAAAGGTTTTTAGCAGTACTTTTGTTTCTGCTCAGATATGCTATCCCTGATACCCGACGGTTATTTAAAATTTGTTGAGTGGGAGGTTTGTTTGCTTTTCCTAAGCTATGATTAGAGTACATTCATTTAGGCCAGGGGTGGCCCATGGGCTGGATGCATCACGTGCAGGCCACGCCCACCCCAGCTCCGCGAAGGGGAAAAAAATGTCACGATACATAATGTGACACCGCAAGTGTCAACTCATAAAATATTTCTATGACCTTTTTAGAGTTTCCCACAGGGAGGGGGAGCAGCCGCTTGCAAATCGAAACTGCATTCCATAAATGTTTTCAAAGATAGTAACTAGGTGACCGAAGTTTCTGCCGTGCAGAATTCTAACTGGAGAGCATGATTGATGACTCTCGGCTACGGATGTGTCCCATTGGAGAATATGAATTACGATACACCCAGTGGATGAGGGAAAACCATGGTCAAGGGTGACAATGAAGGATGTGTCTCAGAGTCGGCTCCACCCAGGCAATGCTGGACCTTTTAACTTCCAATAAATCCTTTTTAAGTTTTGGAAGTTTGGCTTGAGGCTCATGATTTAAATGGGGGTAGCTGCTGGAGCCTTGACAGCGAGTTTGACAGCCATGATTTCTGGCGGACTGAGAAGATTTGATATTGTAAACTGGATTAAATGTGGATTCACTTTTCAGTTTCAATTATAGTTCTTCAGTTCTTGTCCTGTATATTTTACCTATTTCGAGAAAGGGGAATTCATTCTTATCATGTTCCTAGGGCTCAGTTTCTCCCCAACAACCGTTGAATTTGAAATACGATTTTGTATACTGTAATGGAATTTTAAAACGACATACTGCATTTAAAAATGAGAAATATATACTTCCAAACGTATTTGTATTTTGAAAGCAATTCTTCAAGCTAAGATTCAAGGCTGGAAAAAGAATGGGACAAAGAGAAGTAGAAAAGAGCAATTTAGAAAGGAGAAGTAGAGAAATAGAAATTGTATTGTGGGTTATTGCATAAAAGCCTTTAAATTTCTCCTTACTTTTAATCTCTTCCAAGGATACGGAACCAATCTTTGAAGAGGAATCTAAACCGATTTACTGTCAGAACTGCCAGAGCATTTCCTTCTGTGCATTTACCCAAAGATCACTTTTGGTAGTTTGTTCTAAATACTGGAGGGTAAGGATAACCAGTTAAGTGAAAGCTGGCATTTCTTTGTTGTTCAGTCTGCTGTAGTTAAATTGTGCATGAGGCAAACATGCAAAAAAAATATCTCCAGACGGCCGGACTCTAAATTGATTAGTCTACGGTGATTTCTCTGCATAGCTAATTGCCTCAGGGTGCTTGAGCTCACATGGTTGCTGGACTGCTATTTTTACAGAAAACTACAACCATTTAGCCAGATGTTAAAATAATATTTAATAGAATATTCACAATGCTTCTGTTTTCAGACTTTTTCCTTTAATGTTGTTTTTAGAGAATTACTTCTGATACCGAATATATACTTTTTTGCAATGCTTTTGCGTCCTGCCTCCTTGTATGGCCTGTCATACATGAGAATGATATAGTTTTTTCCCTGTAGGTTTTTGATTTGCTGAATTGAAAAGTTTTATTGATTGTTTATATTTTTTTTGCGTGTTTCTAAAAAATGTTCTTTAGGTACCCTAAAAATGTAAATTCCATTGAGTGTCTTTTGCCTTTTTATATTGAAAGGATTTAATAAACAAATGCATTTTTTATTTTAAAAAAGACTAATTGCAGCCACTATAAGAAAGGCTATTTGTATTTACATTTCTTAATTTACAATCAATTTATGTTATGCAGTTACTTTTCTTTAGGTCTTTGATGCTGGAGATTATTCCTTATTGTTCTCAGTCCCAAGTGAAAATGGACAGACATGGACAGGAGGTGATTTTGTGTCAGCAGACAAAGTGATAATATGGACTGAAGATGGACAAAGTTTTATATATAAACTGCCAGCCAGGTATGTGATATTAATAGGGTATAAATAACTAAATAAATAAAGATTACTGTCTAGAATTTTGTGTGTTCAAATAGAATGAGGGATAGTGATACTAATACATTAATTTATCAAACCATACATTTTTTTACTGATCTGTCATTAGAACAGAGACCAAATTTGGTGGTATGATTAAGGCATCAGGCTAGAAGTCAGGGGACCATGAATTTAGTCCTGATTTAGGCACCAAACCAGCTAGGTTACCTGGATCTAGTCCCTTTCTCTTAGCCCTAGGAAGGAGGCAATAGCAGTTCCTGAAAACCTTGTCAAGAAAACTGCAGGGACCTCCGGTTTGAGCTTCTTCGGCGACAGACCGAAACCTCGTTTCTGCGAGGCTTCAATCCATGCTCGCCGCTGGAGCGTCCCGAGCCGGCTGGTTTCGGGGCTAAGCCACCCCGTAGAGGTGGTGAAGAAGGGGGAGACTGCCTACAGGGTTGAGAAGAGCCGCATCTCTCCTCCCCAGCTGGCCATTACTCCCTTTCCCGAAGGCGGTTGTAGTGGTGGTCAGAAATGGCCACCACAAAGAAGAACTCGACCAGAAAAGAACGTGCAGGAGGAAGATAAGAAGTGAAAGTGTTGGTTGACCGGGTCAAACAGCAAAAGCAACAACTAAGGTACCCTGGAATTGAAACTATTAAAAAAAACAATAACATTTTTCCTTAAGAAGATTTTTAACCTGCGAAGGAGAGAGAAAGGGGAAAAGATTTGGGGTTTTTTTTCTCCTTTTCTTATACTGACAGCTAAGAGACTTAAGCAAGAAATTGGAAAAAAATCCACTTTGACATCAATAGGCATTTAATGCTGAAAATAAAAAGTCAAAGGGATAATAAAGATTTCTGGATAATCAAAAGCTTTTGAAAACAGGAAAGGAGAGAAAAAGAATAAAAGGGAAGGATCTGGAAGGGAGGAGACTGCCTGGAATTAAAAAGAATTTACAGCAAAATCTCAACAAGACTAAAGATACATTCTAACTGAAATATTGCAACAAAAACCCCAGTAAGAGAAAGTGGAAAAAGAAATAAGAAGATATAACTCAGGACTATCTGGATTACTTGATGATTTCTGGATTTTTGGTTATTGTATTTGAATGACTAAAATCAATTGGGTGGTTGTTTAAAACTGTTTAAAATGGCTCCACTTTTAGAAGAACTGAAAATGGAACTTAAAAAGTACAAAGAAGATGCACAAGAAGGAAGACGCTCTTTTGGCTTCGCATTTCAATTTTTAGAAATGGAGATTTGGAACTATGGGAAACAACAAGAAATGCCTGCAGAACAAGAAGATTGCGACAAAGAAGAAGGCATCTTTAATGAACAAGTAATCTTAGGTGGGGGGGGGGAAGGAAAGTGGGTAAAGAGAATGGAAAGTTTAAGATTGGGAAAAACAACTCAAAAAAAAGGGTGAAAAATAAGTATAAAATCAGAAAGCAACAGAAGAGGGAAATGCAGAAGAGAGAATTAGGAGTAGAGAGACAAGGGGGTAAAAAGGAGAGGGAGAAGAAGAGAGGGAAGAAAGAAAGGAAAAGAAGTTATAAAGGATAAAAACAAAATATAGAGAAACAGGGCCTATTTAAAGATAATGGGTGAAAATTTAATGGAAAAAGGGATTCTGCAAAGGTACATAAGATAGTATTATTATATTAGTAACAAATAATTTTAGAAAATATGAAACAATGTATGATTAAAATTTTTGATAAAATAGCTATCGTAATTCAGTGGAATGCTTGTCAATAAATAAATGTAACAAAATGAATATTTAATGCTTTACAAAATGTGAAGAGAAATAAGGGAAAAATTAATTATGCAGATTATATGTGTCTTTAAGGAAGTATGATATTTAATTGAAAAGAAGTCTGAAAGATGTTAAGATTTTAATGATTATTAATGATAGAACTGAATTGGAAATGGAATGAGGGTTTATAATTACATATATTTATAATTTTTTTTTTAAAGAATATAGTGTGTATTATAAGAATGTACCAAGCAGAATTTGATTGGAAGTTATGTATTATGTATTATATTGAAGGCCATAACCTTAAGGTATATATTGAAGTTTAAATAAGAATTGAATGGATGTAATTAAAAGATATAAAGGTGTCATACTCCAATTAGTAACTACCGGAGAAAATTTGTTTAATGAGAAAAGATAATGTGAAATTGAAACAGAACAGACAAAAGTATAAATATAATGATTTGGATTGAGATGAGATAATCAAAATAAAATTGAGAAAATTAAAAGAGGGGAAAAACTATGTAGAAAATGTAGAATAGTATAAGATATGGAATAGAACACAAAAGGAGCATGAAATTGAGTTTTGTGTCTGTATAAAGAAGTTCAACCCAGGACCATGCTATTTTCAAAAAAGATGTTTTATTTGTATTTTGTATGTGTGAAAACCCAAATAAGACTTTATTTAAAAAAAAGAAAAAAGAAAACTGCAGAGATTACTTTTGGCAGTCTCTGAGTATAGCAATAGCACTTAGACTTACATACTGCTTCCTGGTGCTTTTACAGCCCTCTCTAAGTGGTTTGCAGAGTCAGCATATGCCCCCCCAAGCAATATAGGTCCTCATTTACAGACCTTGGAAGGATGGAAGGCTGAGTCAACCTTGAGCCAGTGAGAATCGCACTATTGGTAGTCAGCAGAATTAGCCTGCAATACTGCATTTTAACCACTGTGCCACCATGGCTCCTTGGATGTGTCTGATTGGAAGAACAAAAAACATTTTTTTAAAAATTGAATATATCTCAGTACTCTGAACTTGGACATCATAGGAAACTGGGATCAGCTCTATTTCTTTAAATGTGCAGGATAGGATTTCTTTTTATGTGCCAAAAAGGAGAGGAACTGTGACAGAGATAAATAAATATGTTTGAACTGGCTTTATTATGCAGTTTGTGAAGCTGAATGGATAAGATTCATATTGTCAGTGTGTAGGTGATTAGCTTTTCACATTTCCCTGTGAGTAGTTAAATTTAGATCTGCAGAAATGTATTGTTTCTACCTCTTTGATAATTTTGTCAACTTAATTAGGCAAACTGGCTCCTGAACTAGTCTTAAGTTTGGATGATGGCTTTTACCCTTATGTAGAGGATCGCTGTTAGATCATATTGTACAAATAGATGCCACATTTTAGAACTATTTTTCTTCTTGTGCTTTTGATGTGGATTTCCACATTATTTCCACATTTATATTTAAGATATTAAATATAACCCCCTCCCTTATTAACTCAGTGCTTTTCAGCCTCGACTTTTAAGATGCCTGGAATAACTCCCAGAATTCCCCATCCAGGAATTCTTAAAGTTGCTGAAGTTAAGAAATACTGCTCTAATCGATCTAGTCTGCTATTATAATATGAATGCCAAAGCTGCAATTTGGGATAAGTTTCTTAATTATTATACGAGCTGGTAGATATAAACTTTCTGGTTTGCAGTTGCTTACCAGCTAGCAAGACATTTCGAAGTGATGTTGGAAAAATGATTGAAAACCTCAGTCCTCCTCAACTCTACTGTACTATAGACCAAAGAGAGCAGAAAGCAGACAAACAGGTAAGATTTGACCTGCTTTATTATTTAGAAGCTTTATTAGCTAAGAAGCTAATAATTTGAAGCACTTTTGAGATTATGGACATGTTGCTGCTTACTTATATTTTGGTACCGATTTCATTTTTTGTCACTTAATATAAGAGTGCTTTCGACAGGGAGATCTATCCAGCAGTTTTACAAATGTCCTTTTGGTATCCCTATTCTTCCAGATGTTTATAATAGTCATGTTGATATACTGTATAATTACAGTGGGATACTTACTTTTTACATTATTTTTATTTTCATGGTTTTTCAGGTGCAGTTTATTAACACGTTCTTTTGGGCTGTATTACAGGGTGTTGGTGTTTTCATAGCTTTTAGTTTCCCCCAGATCTGTGGGAGATTGAAAAGCAAATAAACAGTGTTAGCTTTGCTTTGTATTTCTTTAATATGCCTTTTCTGCACACCATCTTGAAATTATATTGTGTATTGATTGTTTAAAAGAGTGATAATAATTGCTGACATTGAATAACCTGTCTTGCACATAGGCTATATATTGCACATATATACTATATCTTGCACAAATATCTTCCACATATACAGTATATTTTGTAAGGTTAGATATACATTGTTAGTTATTCCTTTATAAGACTATGTTTCCTGACATTGTTCAGTTAATAGTCCTGAAATTAAGATCTCACATAGGCATCATAGCATGACACAGGCATGGTAGAATTGGGATCCAGAGGAACAAGATTTTACTCTCCTTGTTAACTTGTCTAAAATGCTGTTTCGTGTTTTGTTTGTTTTACAGTTATTAATCTGCCCTCCTGTCACTCAATTCTTCTATGGACGTAGGGAGTGTTTCCATAAATTACTAATCCAGGGAGACTCTTCAGGGAGGCTCACCATTTGGAATATTCCAGATTCACTTGACAAGGAAAATATGACTGAAGGTAATTGTTGTCACAGCAGGTAGCAGCCCCTGGTACTGTAACTTTCAAGAAGGATCAGTCTTGGTTTCTATTTAGACAAAGAATCAGGAGACAGGAGTTCTTGGTACTGTCCGTGCTTAGTTGTTTGCGTGCAAATGTTTCATTACTCAGCTAAGTCAGAGGTCCCCAACTCCTGGGCTGCGGCCCGCTGGCGGACTGTGAGCTGTTTTCAACTGGGCCATGGAAATGGTGGGTGAGCCTGGGCAGACGTACAACCCCAATTGCGTGAGCAGCAGGTGAACGTGTGCACACATGCTCGATTTGCATGAGTGGTGGGCATGCGTCCACACCGTTGACAAAAATGGAGCTGCGCGGGTGCATGCTTGTTGGCTGCTTGTACAGAACCATCCCTTCCCCCGGTCCACAAAGCCCAAAAGGCTGGAGAACTCTGAACTAGGTAACCCACCCACTGATATTGTAACTTAGTTAGATAATGAAGATGTCTGCAAGCAAACAACCAAGCTCAGAGGGTACCAAGGACTCCACAGTTCCACCCAAAATTACAAATATTTTCTTTTATTAAGATCAGAAAATACCCAAGCTGGTACGATGAAAACATATCCCCATAGACAAAGCTACTATCTCTGTTGCTGCCATCAAGAGTCAGGCTTCAGTTTATTTATTTTATTTATTTATGTTGTCGAGCATGTATTAACCAATATAAGTATAAACATGATTATTAATACATGAAATGGGTAAGAATAAAAGAAACAATAGGACAGGGACGGTAGGCATGTTGGTGTGCTTTATGCACGCCCCCTACAGACCTCTTAGGAAAGGGGTGAGGTCAACAGTAGACAGTCTAAGGTTAAAGTTTTTGGTTTTTTTTGAAGAAACCACAGAGTCAGGTAGAGTATTCCAGACATTGACCCACTCTGTTGCTGAAGTCATATTTCCTGCAATCGAGTTTGGTGCGGTTAACTTTGAATTTGTATCTATTGTGTGCTCATGTATTGTTGTGGTTGAAGTTGGACGGGTGGGACATTGCAATGGATAATTTTATGTACTATGCTTATGTCGGACCAAAGTCAGCATAGTAGTTGAGGGAAGCTTTATCTCTATTTTATCTGCAGATAAAATACAGATAAAGCTGAGGGAGGCATTATCTTCATTTTATATTTAATGACAGGAATTAGCAGATATGTTTGTCTTATCCTTCCTACTCCTCTGCCCAATCCTTCAGAATTCTTCACCATTGTTTACTACCCTACTCCTAGTAACTATAGCCAGTTTTCCTCCCCTAGTAAATCTCCTCCTTATTGCTTCATGTATGATTCAGAAAAGTAAATTCTAAACTGCTATGCCAGGCCACACACAATCTTTTTTTAAAAAAGATTTTGATTTAGTGAAAATTATCTATGGCGTTGCTTTTTCTAAGCCTTTCATTTATTTTAATATTTTAAAAATGTATTTTGTTTTTGCTTTTTTTTAAAAAAACAGGATTGCCGGTTACTACGACTATTTCTCTACAAGAAGCGTTTAGCAAACTTCACCCGGCTGGTATTATAGACCAGCTGAGTTTCATCCCAAATAGTGACGAGCCTTTGAAGGTGACGGCAAGTGTCTACATCCCAGCACACGGGCGACTGGTGTGTGGACGTGAAGACGGAAGTATTGTGATCGTTCCAGCCACTCAGACTGCCATAGTTCAGCTTTTGCAAGATGAACACATGTGCAGAAGAGGTGTGTGAAATCATAAGGGCTCAGGGATGACCTATTAAATCGTGGGCATTAAATTGGTTATCTGTATGGGTGGTCCTCGACTTACGACCACATTTTTGAACCCCATATTTCTGCTGCTAAGTGAGGCATTTGTTAAGTGAATTTTGCCCCATTCTACGACCTTCCTTGTCATAGTTTTTGAGTGAATCATGGCAGTTGTTAAGTTGGTGACGTGATTGTTAAGAGAATCTGGCTTCTCCATTGACTTTGTTTGTCAGATGGTCACAACGCTGGGACACTGCACCTGCCATAAATATGAGTCAGTTGCTAAGCATCTGGGTTTTGATCACTGGGGATTCAGCAACGGTCGTCAGTGTGAAATACAGTTATAACTCACTTTTCTCAGTGCCCTTTGCAACCTTGAACTGTCACTAAACAAACTGTTGTAAGTCAAGGACTACCTGCATTCCTATTCAACCGATCTAGAAAAGGTTGTCCCATTTATGCATGGAATAATTCTTGTTTGGATTCGTTAATAAATGTTAATTTTTTTTTTTTTAAATTTCAGGAATTATGCCGAAAGTACTTTTGATTTTATTTCTGAATGATATTTCAAAGAGTTGAAAGCAGTTCATAAAAATAGATCTTAATTGTCATCATTTATTTTGCTCCAGGGCCTTGCATTTGTAAACTGAAGAGGGTAATAGGATCAGAATGCCCATGAATACTGTAGAGCAGTGGTTCTTAACCTTTTTGAAAGAATCGCCCCCTTGAGCCATTGAGGAAGTTATCATCGCCCCCCCTCCCCCAACATAACCTCTCAGTCACAAAACAGGGAAATAATTCTTCAATTTATGCAAACACGTTTTTTGTTTTCTTTAAAATTGTCCTCAGGACATATCGATGCAAATAATTTATTCCCGGTCTTATTCCCATATCTCAACTGTGTGAAAAATTCTGATGCCACTTTACTCCCAAGCGTCATGATACATGTATTTCATTATTATTTTATTTATTCAAGACACTTAATGCAATGACCACTGAAAACAAAATTCAATTGCAAGAAAATGAAATGTCCAAAAAACCCAGTAACATTTAATGATTTAATTACAAGTGAATTTCAAGACACAAAAAGAAATATAAAAAGGGCATAGAGAACAAACCGCAATGCAGGAACTAAGAATTTCAAGACGAAAACTCTGAAACTGAATTAAGATTCGAGGAAAATACATATTTATGCACACTGTAAAAAGGGTTAAAAATACACAAACAAAATTTTTACAGAAGGAAAGCAACAAAAATCAGAGCGACAAATTTAATGGGTAGAGTGATAGAGGCTGCTGCGCAATGCGCATGAAGATGAGCGATGTGTATTCACATATTACAGCATTCTGTACTGAAGCTAGCTGGAGGAACATTTTAAAACGCAGTTCAATCCACTAATAGCAAGCGATCTGATGTTTTTGTGTGACAGATATAGAGCAGTTCACTGTACTAAAAACATGTCAAAGGTGTCTCCAAAACTTCTCGCTCTGTCGCCCCCATATCGTCCCCCTTCCGTTCCTTCACCCCCGCGTCGCCCCTTTTCACTGAAAAATGAAATCACCCCTTGGGGGCATTATCGCCCAGGTTAAGAACCACAGCTGTAGAGCAGTGGTCGCCAACCGGTGGGCCACGGCCCACTGGTGGGCCATGAGAAAATTTTGGTGGGCCGCAGAGAAATCTCACCCCCAGAGCACACCCCCCCAAAGCGATTAATCCAGGCTGCGCAGAAACACAAGGCTGCTCAGTCCACGTGGCCCGTGGGAACTCTTCCCGCCCACTCACTCCTTACCCAGCAAACTTGTCTGCTAAGTTGCTATTTTTCCTTTTTCCGACCATCATCTGTTCTGCTCCGCCGGGAAATTTAGATTAGCTAGGAAGCAGAAAATGGTTGGATTTCTTGCTTTCTAGCTAAGCACAGCCAAACCTCCCTTAGGACTAAAGGTTTGCATGCAAGCAAATTCAGTGCAGACTCATGGCAAGCAAATTTGAGAGACTGAACTAGCTGATGGCAGATAGATAGATCACTGAATGATTCTGTGAGCAACTCAATCTGCCTGCTTTGCCTGATTTTGGATAAAAGTTGCTCTTTTTTAAAAATAAAAAAATCAATATTTACATGCATGGTGTGTTGTTAATTTTATGAGTTTGCTTGCAAGCAAATTTTATGCGACAGACTGAGCTAGCCAATGGCAGATAGATAGATTTCTGAATGAATCTGTGATTCTGTGAACAACTCAATCTGCCTGCCTGCTTTGCCTGATTTTGGTAAAAGTTGCTCTATTTTTTATAAAAAATCAATATTTATATAAATATTTATAATATTTACATATAATCCATGCCCAGCCCATCACATGGCCACCCAGCAAGCCACACCCACAAATTAGGCCGTACCTACAGAACCAGTTAGTGGTCCCTGGGAACTAAAATTATGAGTTTGGTGGTCCCTGAGGTCCAAAAGGTTGGCGACCCCTGCTGTAGAGGGTGTCAGACTTGCTGCATCATGTTGCCGTCACATATCGTGTCATGATGTTTTTTCCTTCGCTGAGCTGGGGTGGGCGTGGCCTGCACATGATGCATCCGCCCCCCTGGCTGCCAGTTTGAAGCCCCTGCTGTAGTGTATGTAATAAATCTGTTGTAGGACCAGTCAATGATCATTGTTGCTTTTAAAGTTACAGCAAAAAAGATGAGAATCTAGAAATCTCCAGAACCATAAAGCCTACAAACTTGAAATTTGGCATGTATGTTACCCTTGGCTTCTAGGTGCTCACTAAGAAAGGACCATCAGAGCATTAGTATTTCGTATATTATTATTATTATTAACACGCTCTGATGCTAAGGAGTTTTACTCCCCCGTCCCCATCTGTTCCAAATGCAAAACACAAGGAGAGGAGAGGAGTTTCAGTTTTAGTTTCACAGTACCAAGCAGAACAGTTGAGCTAAACCATGTCCAGGCTCCTTGCTGTCTCCTTCTTGCTCACACAGCAAATACTGCTTCAGTTTCTCAACTCTCTCAGGACACTAGCCGGATAAATACCGATGGATGCTATTAGGCAGAGGCACAATTTCCCCCCCCCCTTATTTTCCTCCCCAAAAACTAAGCCCGATCACATAGTTTCGTAGCGAAGCACGGGTGTAGAGCTAGTGTATTGATAATATCATCTTTGTGGTAGCAAAAAGGTACTTGGCCTATCAATGAATTTGATGATGATTTTAATGATGATGATGATCTTCATCAACTTCATTTTCATCATCCCTGGAATAAATAATAGGACACTTGAATCAGTTGCTTCACATGCATAATTAAGTAAAAATAAACACATAAATGAATGGCTTTCAGGTAGTGCGTGAATCACCATGAACAAATTTATTAGAATAGAAGGTTACTTTGAATAACCAGTCCCTATGTTTCACTTAACAGGAGAATGTCAGACAACATGGACCATTCATCAAAGAGTATGCTTTGCACTGAAAACATGATACCTGTTTAAGGTATTTGCGATGACTTCTTCTAAATCCCATTTAGAGAAGTCGTGCAAAAATGCTTTCCGGGGGTTGCCCTTGAAAATAACTCAAAAGCTAAAGCTAGTCGTGAACACAGGGATACACTTCAGTACATTTGCATAATACGACTGCTTGACAAGCTACACTAGCTCCCACTAGTGTTTTGGTGTGCAATTTAAGATGCTGATTGTCATGTTGCAAAGCCTTTCAGGGCACAAGGTTGAGTTGTATGTAGACTCCAGTTATTTTTGCTTAATAGGAGATACGTGTTCTCTTGGCAGTGTGTCTACTCTGTGGAGCAACAGAGTCCTAAGATTCAGGTGGCCTTAATCTTACCTTCCTTATGGAAACAATGTTTTTTTTCTCTTTAGCACAGTGCCACGATGTTAGGGGAGCCTATTTTTCTAGGGTGTTATTTGTGCAGATATACCAGGCAGGATGTGTGTGTTTTGTTTGCTTTTAACTGGATGTAAGCAGTCCAGAATCACAGACAAGTTGTTGGCAAGAGAAATAACTAAACAAATTAAATAAATAAGGTCTTTTAAACCGTAGCCATCTTCAATCAGCATGATTTTCAACCAGTCCTTCTCAGAGTTTTTCATTCTGTTACAAAGGCTTCTGATTTGGATACTGCTTACTTCTGTGAAGATATTTTCCATTTTCCTGAAGGAGGACAGTATTTCTTTCACCCTTTTGTTTGTTTGTTTATCACTGGAAACCTCAAGTTGTTAACTATCACTTCAAATAGAATTGACTCTTGTTTGTTAAAGTAAGAGTTAGAAAAAGATGTATCTTTGACCCTAGAAGGCGAAGCTTATCTAGCAGCTTTTTTGAACATATTTCAGGCATTGCCCATCAAATATGCGGCCACGAAATACGGTGCATGTACCATCTTGTCCTAGGGAATTGATCCCCCATCTTCTTGTAGCTTCACTGCATGTGAGGTTGGGTATGCTACATGCTAAATGCCAATTTTATTAACAAGTAGAAAATTAAATGCGAGTAACCCCATAAAAAAAAATCAGATTGCAAATGAACTAAATTAGAAATAGAATACTTTATCACTATTTTTCCCCCTACTGTACAGTGTTGCTACTATCTTTATTACACAAACACGTATGCGTTCCTGTTTTATTTTCTTCTTATCTTGAAAAGACCAAGAATGCCTGCGGTCCCACAATATGTGGCGTTTTGTGTTTTCTTCTGCTTTAATGTTTTAGGTTGGCCACCTCACAGAACTCTGCGGGGTCATCGAAACAAAGTCACCTGTTTGCTGTATCCTCACCAGGTCTCCTCTCGTTACGATCAAAGATACCTGGTCTCAGGTGGTGTAGATTTTTCGGTCATTATCTGGGACATCTTTTCTGGAGAAATGAAGCACATCTTCTGTGTGCATGGTGGAGAAATCACTCAGCTTTTGGTTCCTCCAGAAAATTGCAGTGTAAGTTAATGAACATCTCCTTGGCTCGTGCCTCTCTTTTAACACCAGGAGTCTTCAAACTTGACAGCTTTAAGACTTGTGGACTTCAACTCCCAGAATTCCTCCTCCAGTCATGTTAGCTCAGGAATTCTGGGAGTTGAAGTCCACAAGTCTCAAAACTTGCCAAGTTTGAAAACCCTTGCTTAAGACTAATATAAAAAATAATATTTCAAGACTTGACATTGTTTTGATGAAAATCTTTTTTATTATTATTGGTCTACCTTGTGTTTATAAACTTTTATTTTATTTTCAAAAATTTGAATATCATTTTGAATGGTAGTGTAAAGGACAGTATCAGTGGTGGGATTCAAATTTTTTTACTACCAATTCTGCGGACGTGGCTTGGTGGGCGTGGCTTGGTGGGCGTGGCAGGGGAAGGATACTGCAAAATCCTATTCCCTCCCCACCCCACTAACCTGCTTTTCAGCTCCGTTCTCCTGTGCAGGGCAACCAAAGAAGACCCAGCTGATCAGCTGGGACTGGGGAGGCCAGTCAGAGGTGGTATTTGCCAGTTTTCCAAACTACTCAAAATTTCCACTACTGGTTCTCCAGAACTGGTCAGAACCTGCTGAGTACCATCTCTGGACAGGATGCAACAAAGTGGGCTGAAAGATGGGCAGCTCTATAAATGTTTTAAATAAATAAAACAGAAAACCATAAAGCAGAAGATCCAAAGTACCATTTAAATACAAATAGTTTATTATGCATATACTCACTCATACCTTCAGAAGTGACAGAATAATTTGTCCAAATTGTGAGGTCATTGCGAACTTAAATTCCTGCGTAATTCAATATTTAAATTGTGAACTGGAGTGCAATTACACTTTCATATTTGTAATTTAGGAAATGTTGCAATAGTAACAAAGGGACTAATGGGAATAAATGTACACAAATATCTATTAGTGGAAAATAATAAATTAAACTATTTGAAATCATGATACAGTTTAGAACATTTTACACAGAACTGTATATTTGGAAAATGGTTTAAAATATATATATAGTACCAGCAAAGGAGAATATTTGTAGCTCAGGGATGAAATGAGGGGTCCTTGGTGGTCTCTGAGCTTGCTTGTTTTCTTGCAAGATATTGCTTTAACTAGGTAACATCAGTGCTAGTAAGGAGTGCTGTTTGCTGTGAGTTTGTATTCTGGTGCCTTACTTGTCTGTGAGGATGGGAGCGGTCTTAGAGATTCTTTGGATGGGCTGTTTATTAATAGCTCTTTGGAAATTTCTTCATTGGAGTATTGCTTGCTTGACTGTTGGTCTGAAGATAAGCTTGGAGTTAATTTATGTTGATCTGAGTGCTGATTACTGGTGGAAAGGTGCTGGAGTCTTTTTCTTTTGTGGACTGTTTGATTGTCTCTTTTACATGGTCTATAGATGTTGTTAATGTCTATGTGTTTATTGATGGCCAGGCTTCTAGAAATTCTCTGGCATTATCTGCTACAATGTCCTACCAGTCAATGACTACTTCAGCTTTCAACCGCAATAATACAAGAGCACACAACAGATACAAACTCAGTGTTAACTGCTTCAAACTTGTTTGCAGAAAGTATGACTTCAGCAACAGAGGGGTCAATGCCTGGAATGCACTACCTGACTCTGTTGTTACATCCTCTATCCCCCACTCCTTTAACCTCAAACTAACCACTATTGATCTCGCCCCATTCCTAAGAGGTCTGTAAGCATCGTGCATAAGTTCACGATCGTGCCGACCATCCCTGCCCTATTGTCCCCATTTATTCATACCTATTTCCTGTATTCTTACTCATGTTTATGCTTATATCTATTATCTTGTAAGTGATTGACAAATAAATAAATAAATTTTGGGACTTTTAAGAGAGCACCAAGGACCCTCAAAATACAGTATATTGAAGGATTAAGTGTTCATACTGTGGTAATTTGTGATTTATGGGCTTTAAGATTAGAGAGGGTAGTTGATGGAAAGCATGATGTAACCATAGAGAGGGAATACATAAAATAAAATATGTATCTATAAGTATTCTCAAGAATACTAGAAGCTGTTTCTTTAAAAGTACCTCTCCTCTCCTTCCCTCCCCTTCTCTTTCCTATCTTCTTCCCCCTCCCCTCCCATCTATTTTCCATATTTCATTTTCACTTTGTTATTGCTTCTCTTTATCCTTCTTTCATTCAAAGTTATTGCTTTTTTTTTCTGTTGAAAAACTTCTTCAATAAAAATTGCGTTTTAAAAACGTTCATACTGTGGTAGGTAGAATTGAAGCTTTTAATTTTTTTTTTGCTCGCCACACAATTTTCCCTAATTAACTCCATAAGGAAAAGAAAAACTTATTTCAAGGTTGTAAAAGATTTACCACTAAGAAAAGGATGATCGAAGATAACCGTTTTCTCATTTTCAGTCAAGAGTGCAGCACTGCGTGTGTTCTGTGGCCAGTGACCACTCAGTAGGACTTCTAAGTTTACGTGAAAAGAAGTGCATCATGTTAGCTTCCCGGCACCTTTTTCCTATTCAAAACATAAAGTGGAGACCTTCGGATGACTATCTCATTGTGGGCTGTACAGATGGTTCTGTATATGTATGGCAAATGGATACTGGTGAGTTACCTATGTGCAAAGGACTTGGAAAAAGATTTTATTTTTTTTAATGATGTAGAACAGCGGTCTCCCAACTTTTCGACCTTGGCAGATCGGTGGAGGCGAGGGAGAGGGAAGGGTTTTGCGTGCGTGCATGCGCCACTTTCGAAACGCACTCATGCACACTCACTCACCGCTTCTGTGCCCCAGTTCCGAATGGGCTGCAGCCTGGTATCAGGTCATGGCCCAGAGGTTGGGGACTCCTGATGTAGAAAACGATTCAGTGCTACTAGTTCAATCTTATATTAATGAAGGAGTTTCATCCCTAGGTTATTTTTTTCAAAGAAATCTCTTTTCGGAAATTTCCTTGCCAACTCTCAGGGTTCCAGGTAACCGACCCATATCAAGCAAAACTCCGAGGCAGATGAATTCCTCAAAGAATAGCTTTATTGGATATATCATATTGGCACGAATCTGATGAAAACTGATTCTGAAGGTTCCCGCAGTTTTCGCCTATTTAAAAATAAACGTTTTTCCATCAACCCCAAAACAGTCAGTCACAAGGTCCAATCACGTCGCTGTCTGGTGGTTTGGTGACATCACTCCTCCTTCCTCTGGCCAGGTGTGAGAACGTCCTTGGTTCCCAAGAGAAAATATTTTATTTTGACTACACTACCTAGCTATCTCTAATCCCTCCCTCCCTATCCCTCAGCTCCAGTGTGGCAGCACTGAAGCTCCAGGATGGCTTCAGCCAGGCCAGCTTCAGGGTTGACACAAAACTAACAATGCCTTTCTAATACAAGATAAGAGAAGGAAGTCAGGTGTATTTTTTTCTTTGACTTCAGACACATATTTCTTGCTTTGCCTTGCTAAGTCTTAACAAGGCAAAGGAATTTGTCCCTGAACTTTAATAACGTTTTTCTTTTAAACAATGCAGATAGGCCTCGCTTAACGTCCATTCGTTCAGTGACCCTTTAAAGTTATGAACTTGATGAAAAAAATGGAATTGCAACCAGTCTTTGAACGTAGGACTGTTGCATTGTGGTCACATGAAGTTCAAGCCCATTATGACCTCCCTCTGCCCATCCCCCCCACACCTGATCTTCATAGTTTTCTCCTGTTTCTAAGTTAAGCTCACCGTTCTTGGCCTTGTGTGAGGACACGCTGCGGCTCGGGGGCTTTATACCACACTGTGACTCTGGGACTGCTTCCAACTTCACATCCCTACTGCTACTCAGCAGTAGCCACCCTCAGGTCACCAATGCACTCTTGTGCAATCTCACTCAGCCCCAGGGTGCTTGTGCCACACCTTGCCAGTCATCTGTGTACTTTCAGCACATTCTCCCCTCTGCATTCCTGCTGCGCCTCACTGGCCACGCACACACACTTGGGTTAATGACCCACAATTGTCACTTTCTGGTCGAAATTCTGGTCCCAATTATGATCATTCACCAAGGACTACCTGTATTCACTGAAGAACTATAGAAACCCGCTTGATGTAGTGATTAAGATACTAGGGTAGAATCCAGGAGACTATGAGTTCTCCTCATAGGACTTGTAGAAACGTGCCTTTTCTGTCACGGTGCCTATTTTCTGGAACAGGGGTCTCCAACCTTGGCAACTTTACGAGTTGTGGACTTCAACTCCCAGAATTCCTCAGCCAGCCTGTGCTGCTGAGGAATTCTGGGTGTTAAAGTCCACAAGTCTTTGTGGTTAAAATCCACAAGTCTACAAGTTCCTTGTTCTGGAACACCTAAATCTCCTAAATCAGATTGGCTGAAAATCAGGAAGTTAAATGACCCACCGAGAAGTTTTTTGTTGATTTTGTTTACCCTCAACAACCACTGTAGATTTTTTTTTCCTCGCTTGTTAATTTGTTGTTTTTAATTGTCTTTATTTTGGTGGCTGCCCACCACCTTTGCATTTGCAAGATGGGTGGCCTTATAAGTAGAACGAATGAAGTTTTAGAATTCACCAAGAAATTAAATTCCAATCTTCCATCTATAAGCCCACTTCCTTTGAATGCTTTTATTTGAATGGAGTTCCGTAAAGCAAATTGTTTCTGGACATAAGGGAGTTGTTTTGCTTGCATTATAAAGTATGCAATAGCTAAGCTGGGGGTTTTTTTTTAGCCTTTTCTTTTTTGTGTGTGTTTTTTTTCAGGCGCACTTGACCGATGTGTAATGGGAATAACGGCAGTTGAGATCCTGAATGCTTGTGATGAAGCTGTACCCGCTGCAGTTGATTCTCTCAGCCATCCAGCTGTCAACTTAAAGCAGGCTATGACCAGACGTAGCCTCGCTGCGCTAAAAAATGTGGCTCATCAGAAACTTCAGACCCTCGCTACGAATCTGTTGGCATCTGATTCCTCTGATAAAGTAAGGTCTTAAATTGTTCTTTTAAGTAATTGCTGGCTGCATCTCAATACAGTGCAGAAATGCCTCTTTCTCTGTGCTAGTGAGAGGACAGTCTTGATGAAGGTTGCAAAAGGAGGAGCTGAAAAATTCATCCTTCTTTTCCCCTTTAGTCCAGCACAGGCAATTTTCCATTTTTAGAGCTTTGCCCTTTGACCTAGAATTCCAGGAATGATATTTTTTACGATCAGGTTCCATTTTTTTATAATCTGAAGTCATTTTAAATCCCTTTATAGAACCTAATTACCAAACACAATCAAGCAGACTTAAACATACATTCTGTGTGTTTGCACGCACATGCATATGTATCCGTGCACACCTTCAAGTCACAAAATCTATGTAGTTTTCTTGGCAGCATGTTCTAAAGTATCTTGCCATGGCTTTCTTCCTAGGACTAGTGAGACTATTTGGCCCAACATGTGCCTAAGGAAGGATTAGAACTCAGACTAATCTCTGTAGAACTACAGCAAACTGGTCTTCAAAACACATTTTAACAGAAATAAACATTACACCATCCTTAGCTAAGTTATATTCCTGTTCATCTAGAATAGACTAGGTTTAGAAGATGCAATAAGTATAGTCCTCTGTTTTTCTTGCTCTTTTTCTTTATTGTTTCATTTCCAGATATTTCAAAGGCAAAACCTTTTCTCATTTCACTAGAGAGGACTGATGTCTTGTGGTTTATGGGAACAAAATCTTGTCACATTCAGGAAGGTCTTCTGAAATTTAGAAAGGAATTAACACTCCATAGTACTATGAAGGCAGGCTGGTTGCACTGTAGTCGCCTTGGGAAGAAATACATCCATTTAACACTTTAAAATTTTGGCTATAGATTACAGACTATTGATTGTCCAGAAGAAAATGTAAATGTCCAGAAGAAAACGTCTTAAACAATCTGTGTTTAAACATATTTGGGAAAATTTTAACTTTCCAGAGCTTTATATCTAGCTTCTAATATTTTGCTAAAATCAGAACAATGTGGGAAATGTAGAAATACAGAGGGTAGAATTTAAAATTCTGAGTTAATGAGTTGTATTGTCATAAAGAAGTTTGATAAAAATCTAAAATAAATCCACATGTCCCTCTTCCTTTTACTTGTATTTTGCTGTCCGTTGTCCCTTCACACCCTATAGGTCAAAATTTACATGCTGTTTTATGAACTTACATTAGTAATTTGTTGTATGAACTCAATCCTGTTAAAAAATAAGTTAATGAGTACAAGAAAATATAAATAGACTTTGGGATATAAATACACTTTTGAGTACCTGTATTTTTTAGAGAAAGACACCCCTTATTTATTCTTCTAGTCTTTCAGTTGTCCAGACAATAGAACTATATAGCAGTGTGCATTTCTTTTGTATTTCACATGGTTCAAACCTCTGGATTTCAAGAGTCCCAACTTCTAGGTGTCCCGGCCTGCCTAAAGAATCTGAAGAAACTAGCTATAAATCAGATGGTTATAAGGGAGTGGAAAGAATCATAAATAAGGCTTGGCCTCTGGCAGAACAAGGCGCTGTCAGTACCATGGACAGCTCACCGTGAAAGATGACAGGTTGGGTTCGTTCTTAGGAAAGTAGCTGCCAGCTGAGACTTCAAGAAGGCTAAGCCCCACAAATAAAAACATACTGTAAGCATAAGCAGTGCCCTGCTGGATTGGACCATTGGCCATCTAGTCCTACACTCTCTTTTACAGTGGCCAATAAAATGAACCAGGAAGCCAAGTAACTACTCTCAGAAGATGGCTTTCGGAGGCAGTCACACTGCCATGAAGACTTAAGAGCCATTGATTCCCATGACTTCCATGAATTGGTCCAGTCTTTTTTAAAGCCAGTCAAGCTAGTATCCCCTCACTGGAATAGAATAGAATTCTTTATTGGCCAAGTGTGATTGGACACACAAGGAATTTGTCTTTGATGCATATGCTTTCAGTGGTGATATTCTACTGGTTCGGCCTGGTTTGGGCGAACCGGTAGTAAAAAATGCTATATTTCCAACGATCAGCTGTGCCACGCAATTTAGATTAGCTAGAAAGCAGGAAATCATTGGGTTTTCTTGCTTTCTAGCTAATCTAAATCGCAAGACACCTCTGATTCTCCCCCCCCCCACCTCGCTGTTGTATTTAGCTTGCCAGGAGGCTTCCCTGAGGCCCAGTAGGCAAAAAATCGGGTTGTGGGGGTGCTGCAAAAGGAAAAACAAACACCTAGCCACTCCCATCCAGTCACATGATCACCTGGCCACGCCCACAGAACTGATAGTAAAAATATTTTGAATCCCACCACTGGCTCTCAGTGTACATAAAGGAAAAAATATATATTCATCAAGAATCATAAGATACAATACTTAGTGATAGTTGTAGGTTACTAATACACAATCAAATCATACTAGGAAACAAATGAAACACTAGAAATTGTAAAGATACAAGCAAACACGGTTATAGTGTTAAAAAAAAATCTTATATAATCCCCTAGTTTTGTCCTTCCTTAGGCTTAAAGAGCCTGGCCTTTTCTGCTATGTCTTTGAGGGTCTCCCATGTCTTTGATGGCTTATCCTCAGAATTGGGGCTATTGGATATTGGAAGAGCAACATCCTCAGGTTAGACAGCAGAAGAGAGAGCCCTAAGGACAATTGTTGACTGATCTTTTGAATTTCAAAGTCTTCCTAGAGATTATCTCCATAGTCAGTCCTTCAACCCCGCTGAGCTGATAGCACTTCTGCATTCAGCCTTTGCTTGCAGGTGTGTGTTTTAACTCCGCTCTACAGAGGTGGAATTCTAAAGAAGGATCTGGGGACTTTCTGAAACATAAGCAAATGCATAAGCTATAGCTTTGAATTAAAAAAAGGTTGCAAGTTATGTCCACAGCATTTTAGCTTAGGCTGTGACAAGCTATCTGAAACCCTCAAAAAGGGTTGTCCTGAGCTTGACAGACCCAAGATTTGTTGAAATTTAGTCTGGAGTTCATCGTGTTCAGCGTTTTCTCTGATTCTGGAGACATAACACCATTCTGATCCTTTTCAAATATTTAATTGCTTTGCCTGCAGGGGCTCAGACTGTGTTTCAAGCAGTGGGTGTTAAGCATTACTCAAACTTAAGAGCATCATTAAATTACTAGCATCTTAAATAATTGACTCGGTTCAGCAGTTGGTTTGACCTAAGCTGCTTATCACAATATTGAATTAAAATGTAATTATTCCATTGCAGCTGATTCTCCCTTTCTTTGGATGCAGTAAAGGGAATCTTTTGTGTTCCAATAGAAATCTTTAAGCAGTCTCAATCTCACTGAGAACATCTTTTCCTTTCAGGTTTTCCATTTTGGTATTGTTAGACTTCTGTATAAGCAGTGGGTTACTTTCAGCAGTTTTTTTTTTCCATGTTGCATTAATTCAATTAATTTGTTCAGTTTGGACTGTCTGATTCCAAATTGCACTGAGTGGCCCGCAGTGTAACAAAAAAGATTAACAAAAACACAAATTAAAAAATCAGCAAAACAAATAAGAAGCAGATAACAAACAAGATGGTTATTCCAACCAACATCAAAACTCAGGAAGGTTTTTTTCTAACTACCCTAATCCTCGACTTCTAAGATTAGCTGAGTCTTCAAGGCCCTGTCAGGGTTCCAAGTAATGCATCCCTTTCAATGAGAACTCCGAGGCAGGCATATTCCTCAAATAACATTATATGGGGACATATCAAATTGGCACAGACTTGGTGGAAAACCGGCTCTAAGTTCCCTCCGGTTTTACACTCAATTAAAAGTAAAACATTGTCACTTGCCCTCCAGAGTCTCCAGTCATATGGTCCAATCAGCATGTTGTCCAGTTGCTAGGTGACCTCAGTCTCCACCTTTCGAACACCTGCACAAATGTCCTTGATTCCCAGAGGAAATAATTTTATTTAGGCTACAATACCCCAGCTACCTCTACACCCCACTCCCTGTCCCCTTAACTCCAGTGTGTCTGTGTCAGCCCTGAAGCAATGTGAAGAGAAACCTCCTTAGAGGAAAGCAACAAAAAGAAAATGGCCACAGTTAGGCCAGCTTCAGGGTTGACAGGCCCTCCAGAACATTATCAGGGTGAAAGCCACCCAGATTGCAGTGGGGAATCTTCATTTCAGAAGGTGGGCACTAAAACAGAAGTTGCATCTCCTGAGTCTCGAAATACGACTCTGTTTAACTGAAGGGACCTCAAGCATACCCACCCTGTCTGTTCATATTGACCAGGCAGTCATTATGGTTCCTCAGATAACCATGACATGGTATGCACGGCCTATATAGGCCTTTTATAGATCATAAGCAGCATCTTGAATCATACCTGGAAGCATACGCCTTGTGGAACAAAGGTGTCACATGAAAAACACACCCATTATTGCCCACACTGTTGCATTCTGGACCACTTGAAACTTCTGAGAGGTGTTCGGGGTCAGCCTTATATAGAACACATGGTTGCCTATAGAGGTAGTTGAGCTGTGATGCAACGAAAGCATCAGCAACTATCTGAGAGGGCTCCCAATCCAGGAAAGCCCCCCCCCCCCCCCCCCCCCCCCCCCCCCCCCCCCCGGAACATTGGATGAAGCTGGGCAAAAGCATTCTTGGCCATAGCTACCACCAGAAGCTGTCAATCCAAGGAGACTCCTAGTTTGTGCATCTCATTGAGAGGGAAAGTACAACCCATCCAAAATCCAAATTGGAATCTCCCAAAATCTAGGTAGCCCTAACAACCATAGCCACTGGTTCTTAGTAGGATTAAACTGAAGGTATCTCAAAGGTGCTTTTTCAAAAAGCAACTGAGACTCTTTTTCCCTTGAAAAAGCCGCTTCATGCCTCATCTGAGAAGCTTGATCAAAACTGATGAAGCTTCCTAGAAGAGAAGCAAAATGTCTTCCTCGAGGAAAAAAAAAACCCAGCACAGTTGCCTTTTGAAAAAACACCTTTTAGACAACTAGGACCTGGATGACTGAGATTCTCCAGCAACATTTTAAACTGAAGGTGGTTCCTTCCCTTCCAAGTCTGCACCCATCGAGAAATCTGTATTACAAGTGTTTAGACGCTTGAGTTCCTAGTAACATAATACAGTATATTTTGGAGCCCTCTTATACTCATGGGTTCTGTTTGAACCACAGATGGATGTTTGTACTAAAGGAGAGTTCTACATATAATCAGATGTTAAAAGAGGGGTGTAATCCAGAACTGGAGGCATGTGGTCATATGTAGCAGACTCTTCATTAAGAAGCTGAGCTGAAATTCAGCCTATCTTCTAGGATTCGACTCTCAAGCTTAATTTAGAACAAAGTGTGTTCTCAGCTTATGTGACATGCCCTTGATAGAGTCAGAGTTTGAGGGAGAGGAGGAACAGCCAACAGGAAGTGGACCTTTATTGAATCGCCTCAGATTTCTGTTTTGACCCATTCTCCTTGGATGACAATGATTCACTACAGATGACCATACCATAGTTATTTGAAGACACAATTATCAAGGAATCTGGAGTTCTTCATTCTATAAATTTCAATGAACAAGTATTTCAGATTTGTATAGCATAACATGACGGTGTTTTTGATTATTACTTGACAGAAGGCTTTGGGAATTAAGGTGATGCAGATATCAAGCATAATTAGAAGTTCTGTGTTCTTCAGAACAAAGAGTGAATTTGCTTTTTAACAGCAGGACAGTAGAGGGCATTAGAGACCTACTTTTTGTTAAGTTCATAGTTCTAGAGATTTTAGACATTTTTTATAGATTTTTTATTTGCAACCGACCCACACACCTGACAATATAGATTTTAGCCAGGTTTAAAATCGATGAAATCCACATGTGTAAAGCTGGGAAACAGGATTGCTAGTAAGCTGTAACATTACTATTTTTTCTATTGTACATCTTCGGATCATTTCCCCCACAAGCTTAAAACTAAAAAAACCCTGAAATGTCAGAATAAAGCCAAAAATCAACTTCTTATTCCTTTCTAATAATGTAAAATACAAAAAAAAAAAAAAAAAAATAGGAAGCTGAATTTGTATGGGGTGCAATATTTAATATGATATAGACGCTTAAGAAATTACTTGTGTAAATCACCATTAAGGAAGTAAAATCCTATATTCACGGGTTTCATATTTAATTTCCTTTCATTTTTTTTTTCTTTCCTTTCCTTTCCTTTTCTTTATATGCATTTTAATTCAGTTCTTTCAATTTTCCATAAATTTTTCATTGGCGAAGCTGTTTTTCACGGGGAATTGGAGGTGGGGAATTACAGGTATCCTCATTTCTGCTCTTGGAGTGATTTCAAATATTCTGGAACGGTCTGAGACAATCCAGACATACTAGGAAGGTGTGTATCCTACCAGGGAAGTGGATCTCTGTGGTCTATGTCTAAAAATTTGAATTTATTCATTTCTTTTATTCATCCATTTGTTTATTTGTTTATTTATTTATGCTTTGAATTTATTTATTGATTTATTTAATATGCTACCCACCTGGTGGGTCTCTGCTGCCCGTGCTAAAAATTGAATTTATTTATTTATTTAGTTAAGTATTTATTTATTTAATAAGGTACCCATCTGGTGGGTCTCTACTGTCTGTTTAAAAATTGAATTTATTTATTTAGTTAAGTATTTATTTATTACCTGCTTATTTGCTTGTGTGTTTGTTTGTTTGCTTGCTTTTTTATTTATTTAATATGCCACCCAACTCGCCTAGAGGAGACTCTAGGCGGCTTACTATCAAAACTCAACATTAAACTAATAAATATTAGCAGTACAATTGATTTTTATCTCAGTGCCTGGAGGCTGTGGTAAGCTAGATAAGAATGAACAGGCTTCAACTCTCAACCTTAGCCAGATGGACTGGCTTTGAGTATTAGGGCATCCTGGATCTGATGATTTTTCCATCCTTAAACACTGGATGGGGTTGCAGTATTCCAGACAGAATGGGGGCACCGTTGGGCGGTTCTCTTTGATGCATAGCTCCGTGACAGAAGAATGGGGGTGGGGGGGGAGCCGTGACTGGAGGTTGATGTACCAATTGTGTCCCTTCCTAGATCAGAAGACATGACACATAGCTGTTCATGGTTCAGTCCCATCCCAAGTGGATTCCTGCAGTGCTCTCTACATGATACTTGCCTCTGAAGAACATCTGGAATTTCAGTTAGTCCAAAATGCAGTGGTATGGGCAAGGGGGGATGTGTAGTATTGTCTATGGAGATTCTCAGGCATCCAGGTCATGGTTGTCCCAAAGGTGCATTTTTCAAGAGGCAACTGGACTTTCTTTTTCTTTTTCTTTGAAGACGTTTCACTTCTCATTCAAGAAGCTTCTTCAGCCCTGACTGGATGGTGGGGAATGGAAGGATTTATATTCCTTGCAGACAGATTTATATCTGAGGACACAGATAAACCTCCAAGTGGCCTCAGTGACTCTCTAAACAGATGCAAATGACCAGCTGTCTGCAAGGAGTATAAATCCTTCCATTCCCACCCCCCCTCAAAATCCGCTTAGAGTCAAAGAAGCTTCTTGGATGAGAAGTGAAATGTCTTCAAAGAAAAACAACAACAAAAAGTCCAGTTGCCTCTCGAGGTGAGGGGAAGCACCTTTGGGATATGTGGTATTATGTCCATGTTACTGGCTCTCAGGTGTGATTCAAAGTTCTGGTTAATATTTATACAGTTTTGGATAGCACCGGCCCACATTTTCAAGGAACAGCCTTATTCCCGTTGTTTCATTCTCCTGATTAATTTGGTTATGAAGGGCATCTTCCGAGTCCTGTCAATCAGGATTGTCATCTGGCAGGATCTGGGAACTGAACCTTTTCTGTGAAACATCTTACCACCTAGCTTTGTTTGGCTGTTCTTCTCAACATGTTCATCTTTTCGAAAGCCTTGAAGCCCTGATTATTTCCCCAGGCATTTGAGCCAGGAAAATAATTGAGCTGGTAAAGGATGTGTCAGCTTTGGAAGCCATATTGAGATCAGATGCTCCCACGCTGCCACATCTGAACTTTGGAAAGTAGGAGTGGGGAATTTATTGGAGTATATCTAGTGAGACATAATAACATTCTTTTTTTCTGATTCAAGGTCAGGGGGTGTTTCACAAAAGTGTTCTGATCCAACCCTGTTACCAGCAAGAAAATCTCAAACAAACGCAGCAACTCAAACCTTCTCAGCTTTAATCTACAAATAACTTCTTTGTAGATAAAAGATGGCTTGCAACCAATTAGTCCAACCAGAAAAGCCTTGACAGAATTCTTCAGATAAGCTGGAGTCTCCACACATAACGCTGAGTCCTTAGAACGTTTTTGCTTTCTGCAAAAGCAAAAACTTTTTGAAACCAGGCTTATATTCCTTGGAGGGAGGGGCCATTATGTTGCATCCTTACTCCTGAGTCGCCTGTGCTGCTCCAGGTGTTCTCTTCTACAATCATCCTGTGCTCGCGCACACTTGGCACAGGCTCCTCGGGAACCTCCTCGTCACTGCTGCCAGCCCCCACAATCTCTGAAGGCATCATCAGAGTCATCGCTCTCCTCAGCCATCTGCCCCTGCTGCCGGATAACCACAACAATAAGTGAGAGGAAGTCATAACTTGGAATGGATGGTGATTGGGCCATGCGATGTGATAATGGGTTCAGGGGATGGATTTTGTAGTTTTTACTTATTGTGAGGAAACCCGAAACTTTCAGATTCGATTGTTGTGCCAGTTACTATCCAAATAAAAAGGAACCTTTGAGAAGATGTCTGTCTCGGAGTTATTGGTGGAATGGAGGGTGGCTGGAATGCTGACATTATGTTTCCAAGAGCCACTTTGTGTTGTTTGGCTGGGAATAATATAAATATAAAAATGAGTAGGGAGTTACCTGAATGTAAGATACCCCACTGCAGCCCAATACTTAGGTAATTATTTGAGGAAAAGAAATCTGATATTTCAGTGGAGATTCTCAGTCATCCAAGTCGTGGTAGTCCCAAAGTTGTTTTTTCAAAAGGCAGATGGTCTTACTTTTTTTTTTTTGCTTGAAGACCTTTCGCTTCTCATCCAAGAAGCTCCTTCAGTTCTGCCTGAATTCTCTTCTGCAGAGAATGGAAGGGTTTATATTTATATTCCAATATAAATCCTTCCATTCTCCACCATTCAATCAAAACTGAAGAAGTTTCTTGGATGAGAAGCAAAATGTCTTCAAGCAAAAGGAAGGAAGGAAGGAAGGAAGGAAGGAAGGAAGGAAGGAAGGAAGGAAGGAAGGAAGGAAGGAAAGTAAGTCCTGCTGCCTTTTGGGGACATCTGATCTTTCAATTAAGTGATTTTTTTTTCATCCATTCTAACTCCTGATAATTTTCTGCCCATTTATTTGCAAGATTTTGGAAGTGGTTTGTCCTTGCTTCTTTTTTTTTTAGGGCTGACAAAGAGTGACTAGTCCAAAATCACCCAACTGGCTTTGCACCTAAGGCAGGACTAAAGCACACCCCCACAACAACATTGGTAGGGCAAGCTACTGTATATAAAATAGTCAACAAACCCCACACGCACTAGCACTGATGATGTTATCTAGTTTGCAACTAAGCTTAGAGAGCACAAAGAATAGATAAAAATCTGCACGACACTGATTTTCACTACAATATTTATTATTATTTTAAAAGCTAACATAACTGGTTTTCTAGTTGGTACATTTTTTAAAAAAAGCATGAAGAAAGTGATGTCTAAGATTTGTTTTAAAAATTAGTAATATATACTGCTTCAAAACATTCTTATTGGGTACTTAGTGATACCTATGTTTAGGTTCATACTATTATCTATGTTTACCTATGACACCTATGTTTATTTGTGTTTTTCAAAAATTACAACTATATTGGGTTATTTATTTATTTAGTGTATAACAACTGTATTGAGTGTTCCTGCCCAATATATTTACAATGTGTAATGTACAAACCCATAAACAGAAAAGCATCTCAGAGATAATTGTATTCTCTGTTTTGTTAAAGGGAAATTTGCCAAAATATTCACACAACTCTCTGATGGTTCAAGCCCTGAAGACCAACTTAACAGACCCAGATGTCCATATTCTCTTCTTTGATGTGGAAGCTCTGATTATTCAGTTACTAACTGAGGAAGCCTCAAGGCCTAACACAGCCCTTATTTCCCCTGAGAATTTACAGAAAGCATCTGGCAGCTCTGACAAAGGAAGTCCCTTCCTGGCTGGCAAACGAGCCGCAGTCCTGCTTCAGCAGGTCAAAGAAACCGTCAAAGAAACCATCAAAGAAAACATAAAAGAACGTCTTTTTGACGAAGACGATGAGGATGAGGAAGCCAGACAAAGAAGAGAGGACGGTGACCCCGAATACCGGTCCAGCAAATCAAAGCCATTAACTCTCTTAGAATATAACCTAACTATGGACACAGCCAAGCTGTTTATGTCGTGCCTTCACGCTTGGGGGTTGAATAATGTTCTGGATGAACTTTGCAGTGAGCGTCTAGGGATGTTGAGGCCTCATCGTTCTGTCTCTTTTGGCTTGCTTTCAAGAGGCGGCCACATGTCTTTGATGTTGCCAGGGTATCATAAGCCTGTAGACCAGGTACCCTCTAGTGATAGAACAGAGATAGCAAAGCCCGACCCTCTGACAGAGCGACACATCAGGGGGACGTACGGCATTTCACGTGCAGTAACAACCCAACACCTCCTCTCCATCATCTCCCTGGCAAACACCTTGATGAGCATGACCAATGCAACTTTTATTGGAGAGCATATGAAAAAGGGGCCAGCCAGGTACCTTTAACAACTTCGCTTAACTAGTGTTGCATTTCTTGTTTTCTCTTCCCTTCTCCCTTCCGGAATTCCATACTAAATTGCAACCTTGATTTAGTAGTCCATGATGCAATGGACTAACCCCGCCATCTTCTGCATGAATGAGTGTAAAATAATGCCAATATTGCCATACCCTTTGTTTGTATAACGATGCTTGTGGTGGCCTCATTTGTGTAACGATAGCGCTGTGAGTGTCATGCTGTCTGAATGAACCATCAGGAGTCATGGATGCCTCTCTCTCCTAGGTCTGTCCATTAAATTGAGACTACATTGTATAGATACGAGCTGTGATGGCGCAGTGGTTAGAATGCAGTACTGCAGGTTAATTCTGCTGACTGCCAGCTGCCTGCAGTTTGGCAGTTCGAGTCTCACCGGCTCAAGGTTGCCTCAGCCTTTCATCCTTCTGAGGTCTGTAAAATGAGGACCCAGATTGTTGGGGGACATAAAACTGCTTAGAGAGGGTTATAAAGAACTATGAAGCGGTATATATGTCTAAGTGCTATTGCTATTTGTACTTGCTGGGGAGATCATAATCCAGCATCTACAAATATATTCAATAAGTAGTATTTAATTTGTTAAATTATTTGCTGAATTGAAACTTAGTTAAGAATGCAGAACTAGCAATTAAGGTTTGGATTTAAGTGATACCAGACTTGGGCAGGAAGGGATAGCAATTGCCTTGGAGGAGGCATGTTCATTACAAAAAGCTTTACACAAAATAATGGTCAAGTTAGAGGTCCAATACTTCTTTGCTCAGGTAAATCTTATTTCATGTATTATTTGTTAATTTGTTTCCTATCTTTCTCTATATTTTATATTATGAAGTTGTCTTACCTCATATGCCCGATCTTGACTGTATTCTGTCTTTGATCTTATTCACACAATTTCACCCTGCCTTTCCCAGCCAACCCTGTTCAAAGTCACTGGTCTGCACAATCAGCTTGCTGCTCTCAGGTGTTCTTTGTAGCGCTTTGTTTTGCTCTCAAAGCTGCTGCTTTCTGGGACTCTGGGATTCTGCATTCTGCTTCCACCAGCTCTTCTTCTTGGCCCTGCCTGGCAAAATTCCTTGACTGACAAAGTCCTCAGCGTGTCCCTTCTGTCATTGAAGGTGGGGTGGACTAGTCCCATCAGGCTGAGGTGGTTCCTCAGATATAGCCTGAAGGGCTTTAAAAGTTATAACACCCTTGATAACACCTTGAATTGAACCCAGGAGCAAAGTGTCAATCAGTACAGCATGTGGAACAGTGGTGTAACATGGGCCACCTTAGGGGCCCAAAGAACTACCCATGCTGCTGCATTTTGCACCAGCTGAAGCTTCTTGATACTCTTCAAGGGTAGCCCAATGTAGAACACATTGCTGTAGTCCAGCATGAGATGACCAGGTCTTGAGTGACTGAGAACAGAGACTCCCAATCCAGGAAGGGGTGCAATTGGCACACAACATATAATTGTACAAAGGCTCTCTTAGCCACAATTGCCACCTGCTCATTGAGAAGGAGTCATGAGTCCAGGAGAACCCATAGATTGTGGACCAGGTCTGTCTGGGTAGTCCAACCCCATGAGAACTAAAAGTGTTAGAGTCCCACAGCTGGAAATTCCATGCACCCAAAGCCACTCATTAATGAGAGCCTTCATGAGAACCATGGCAAGAGCCTTCATTAGCCTGTCCCACAAGAAAAAGCAAAATAAATTCTGGAAGAGTGTAAATATTTTCTAGAAAATGATGAAGATTTGGACAAAACAAATGGGCTAGAAAGAAGATCAGGAAAAAAAAATGTACTGCAGTTCGGTGTAGATAAAGTGGAAGTTTTTAATATGTTTTCTTAAGACACCAGGCTCAAATTGTTCAGGCTTAGCAGAACCAAGAAACAGACTCCTTGTCCCAAAAAGCCGCTCTTGATTTAGTTACTGTGAATTCATGGCATTCACACGCAGAAAAGTCCCGGCAATAATTCTTCCAAGGAAGGGTTAATTGCAAGAACAGACTTTATCAGTCCTTGGATAGTTGCCAGGTGAGAGCTTCCAGTCCCAAAGCTGTAAATTAAATACCTGGCAAGGAGTCTCCGTGTGGCAGAACTCTGATAAGCAAATCTTCCAAAAGAAATATGAAACGAATTGTCTCCTGCAACCATCGCTCCCCTTTGGTTTCCATTCAGCGTCCACGTGTGCCTTTCCTTCCAAGTTGACCCCCGTTCCTCAGTTGTTCTCCTCTCCTGACAGCTTTGCACATACTCGGATCTGGCACAGGCTCCAGCTGTTCTTCTTCCCCACTTATCTCCAATTCTGTAGGCAGCTGGGAAACGTTGGATGGCCTTGACCCCATCTCTGCTTCTGACGCAGAGCACCCATCAGAGCCTTCCCCGGACTCCAGGATTAGCCAAAGCTCCCCCACAAGCTCCTCATTGTCTGAGTCTGCCACCACCTCCGGTAGCAGCTGGTGGGCCACAACACAAATATGAAATTATAAACAATCTCCTTTACGTGCTTAGTTATAAATTCACAAGTGTTTTATTTGTAGGCCACCTAGACCAGGGACTCCTGACCTTGGAAGAGTGAAGACTTCTACTCCACTTGCTAGTCCAACAGCACAAGGATTGATTAAACAAGGTAATGAACATCAGGCTTTTGAGAATTCGTGAACCACTACTCTGTAGTCAAATCTTGTTTGTATCATTTTTTTCCTGCTCTGAATTATAAGTATTTCATTGAATTTGGATTAGAGTTTAGACCACTTTTGCAAAACTTGAAATGGAAAACACGGTTTTTAGCAATGGGATGTAGCTGAAATCTTTGATAATGGTGAGAAATTACTAATATCCATGAAAGTTAAGTCTTCTTTCTAGTGCAATATTTGAACACATAAATATTTTTATTTTAAAAAATCGATCATACTCTTAGGAATGTTACTTCTTATCCAACTTTATGTTGCATTTATCCATCATTCTCTTTCAATGCCTTATAGGAACTGTGAATTTGGAAATATTTTCTGTTACATTTTAGAAGTGGATTCAGGGTCAGCCTGTTTTGTGGTGAAACTGGCAGGTGACAGCTTAATTTCTTATAGATTGCAATTCATTTGACATTTGACCCATCTGGTGGGGAAGTAGCAATTGCCTTGGTCAGATGTTTGTTCCATTTTTTATGTTTATTGTAATTAAAGTTATAGTTAAGTAATTACAGTTTGTAATTGTAAGTAATTGCAGTTCTTTTCATCCAGTAGTAATCTTAAGAGGGAAAATATTAGGTTCAAAATGTTCTCTTCCCTTTTACCTTTTCTATTATTGATGTTGTAGATGAACTTTCTCTAGTGTTTTAGCACCTGTAAGCTGTAAGTTGTCCTGCCCTCATTTTTTAAAGCAGTAAAAAAGTGAAGGATTTTACAGCGTTTGCGGAAAATAAAACTTAAATATTTATTTGCCTACATGTAAATGATTTATAATTTATAATAAATGTTACAAATGCAATCCTCAGCAAAATTAAATCCATTAAAAAATCCACAAACCTAACAAATAAGGACATAATAACAACAACAACAACAATAACAACAACAATAATAATAATAATAATTCAATATCTTTAATTGTAGAAAATTCTAAACCAGTTAAAGGCCAAGTTAATAATAGAGAAAGCCTTTTGGACAGTTTGAAGTTTCACCAAATCAAATTTCTACAAACAGAAACATCAGTGAAAAGGTGTTGATTTGTGGCCACCTACTCAACTGCTCTGCTAGATGGACAGAAAAGTTGCTGTTTTCTGGTGTTGTATGCACTTCTCCAAAAATGAAGTGAAAGTTCATTAATATATTGAGCAAAAAAGCTACCTCACTATTTTTTATAAACCTGTCTCATTGATGTTTTTTAAAAAAATTATGCCATACAAAGTACTTGTTATATTATACTATATGTTATATTATAACATGTTATAATAATGCCAGATAAATTTTAGGCATTGTTAAGAGTTTAGTCTATAGCACCATCATGCAAGCACCTGCAATGGGCCAAGTACATCTTTTTATAATTTCTCCACCACCATCACCCAAAAATCTCATGGAATCTCACATGGTTTTAACAGTCTCATGCACTTGATATTATGTTAAGTGTTTTGCAGTTTTGACTTTCTTGGCAAGATCTTGCATGATTTAACCATCTTGCACTATTTCTTCTATTGCTCTATGGTTGTTTATTGTTTAGGGCCACAGCCCACTGGTGGGCCGTGAGAAAATTTTGGTGGGCCGCAAAGAAATCTCACCCCCAGAGCACCCCCCCAAAGCAATTAATCCAGGCTGCACAGAAACACAAGGCTTCTCAGCCCACATGGCCCACGGGAACCCTCCCCACCCACTTTCTCCTTACCCGGCAAACTTGTCTGCTAAATTGCTATTTTTCCTTTTTCCGACTATTATCTGTTCTGCTGTGCTGGGAGATGTAGATTAGCTAGGAAGCAGGAAATGGTTGGATTTCTTGCTTTCTAGCTAAGCACAGCCGAACCTCCCTTAGGATTGAAGGTTTGTTTGTAAGCAAAATCAGTGCAGATTCACAGCAAGCAAATTTGAGGGACTGAGCTAGCCAGTGGCAGATAGATAGATCACTGAATGATTCTGTGAGCAACTCAATCTGTCTGCTTTGCCTGATTTTGGATAAAAGGTGTTTTTTTTAATAAAAAAATCAATATTTGCAAACATGGTGTGTTGTGAGTTAATTTTATGAGTTTGCTTGCAAGCAAATTTTATGTGACAGACTGGGCTAGCCAATGGAAGATAGATTGATTTCTGAATGAATCTGTGATTCTGTGAGCAACTCAATCTGCCTGCCTGCTTTGCCTGATTTTGGGTAAAAGTTGCTCTTTTTTAATAAAAAAATTCAATATTTATATAAATATTTATAATATTTATATACAAGCCATGCCCAACCAGTCACATGACCACCAAGCCACACCCACAAATTAGGCCACGCCCACAGGACCAGTTAGTGGTCCCTGGGATCTAAAATTATGAGTTTTCTGGTCCCCGAGGTCCAAAAGGTTGGTGATCCCTGGTTTAGGGGATCCACAAGCAGGGGCTTGAGCTATTGTAAATGTCTTCATAACCATTGCCGTTGGGTTTCTAGCTCCCGTTCAGTCACTAAGCAGATCTAAAGCTAGACGTCTGGGGGGGGGGGGGTGGGTTTTCAGTTTCATTGCTCTCATTTCCCCCAACAAACGGAATAAGAATA